AAAAAAAAAGCCAGAAGGTAGAAGATATTTGTAGTACATATAATTGACAAAAGACCTATCCCAATGGGTAAATCAATTAGAGAAAGACAATCTAATAGAAGAGTTGACAAGATATTTGAATAAATACTTCACAAAAGAGAAGGCAATTTAGGAAATGATAATTAAGGCCACAATAAGATGTTGCTATACACCTATAAAAATGGCTAAAACTAAAAGGACTGACCATTATGAGGGTTGGTGAAGATGTGGAACCACTGGAATTCTCATACACTGCTGGTGGAATGTAAAGTGGAAAACTACTTTGAAATTAAACTGAACGTGTGCAAGCCCTGAAACCCAGCAATCTGACTCTTAGGTATACTTCACAGAAGTGCTTTACTATGTGTACCAGAATGGCAGCATTATAACCCCAAGCCGGAAAAAACCTAAATGAGTAAATTGTGGTATATACATACAATGGACTACTGTACAGTGGAAATTATAGGAATGAAAATTAACAACCTACTTCTCATAACAACATGGATGAATTAGTGATAAGTGAAAGAAATAGTGATAAGTGAAAGAAGCCAGACTAAAAGGATACATATTGTATGATTCTGTTTTTGTAATGTAAGGTTCAAAAACAGATAAAACTGTGATGTTAAAGATCAGGACAGAGATTGCCTCTGGGGAAGAGGGATGGGGAGAAGCCATGAAAGGGCTTCTGAGGTGCTGGTAATGTTTTATTTTTTTCCCTTTGAGCGGTTGTTACAATTTGCGATAATTCATTCAGCTGTACCTTTATGAATGGTGTGCTTTTGTCGATATATGTTATACTTCAATTTAAACGTTTTATTTCTAAAGATTCCTGGTATGAAGCCCTGAAATATGTCTCCAGTGGGTCCTCACGAAGAGGACGCTATGTCCTTGACGACAGAATTTAGTACAACTCGGGCTGTTTGCAACAGTGTCCCCCACGTGGGCTGAAGGCAGGACGCCAGAGAGAGAGTCTGTAAAAACCTTTCTATGAGGGATTACCCAGTTGTTTCCAGTACTTTGCTCTCTGCTGATCTGGCTCACTCTGAGGGTAAACAGAGTAGAGAAAAATGGATGGGCTGCATATCCTGCAGACAGTCCTGAAAACATGATTTTTTTCTCAACTGAGTTTTTGCTGAGTATTGGATGGGAGAGAAATGGAGATTATAGACTCTGACAGGAACTTGGAGGACAGATACATTCTACTGCCACGTAAGGACAGATCTAAATGTTTTAACCCTTAAGTGAGTTGGAAGGAAGATTGATGTCCCCATATGAAGTCTAACAGGTCACTGAGAATAGAAGCCCATCTCCCTGTGACAGGGAGGTAGGGGCAAGGTGACATAGGTAATGCTGTATTTCATTAACTCTAAGATAGATATTTTCCACCCACATTTTAACATTTTAAAAATTAGAATGTATTTTACAGTTGATGTGTCATAATTGAGTTGGCAGTGTTTTTTTCTTACAAAACTAGAATCCATCTTATAATCTGATGGCATCTTAGATTCAATTAAATAAGTCACTGCCTTCAATATTGTTCCTCTTTTCAAGCCTCGATATCTCCAGCTACTTGGAGGTGATAGTTCAAATATATTTTAAGTCTAAATTTTGCTTGGGACCTTAGGAATCATTGACTTCCCTATCCGCCCCCCCGCACACCCCGCTTCTATCACATTCGTTTCCGAGGAGCCAGCCATAGAAGGAATATTTGGATGAACATATCACATGATTTGCAATAAGTTATGAATTGCTTATGTGGATGGTAACTGGATTCCTTCAGACTGTCCATCACTCCCCAGTATTGTTTACACTAGAAATTTCCTCTGCATGCTCTGCCTTTCCAGGTAATGTTGAGGCAACTGTCGGCATAACCCATCTAAAATCAGAGTCTAAATGATGCCGTTTTCTTGTATTTAATCATGTCAGCTTTACAACTCCTGAAGTGCTAGCACTGAGGCTCCAGGAAGAATCTGCAGACTGCAGTATGAAATAGTAAAATAAAACTTTGTCCAAACAAGGCTTGATGGAAACCAAAATGCACAGAGTTTGGAGAAGAATCCTTTGTTTTCTTTTTTTTTTTTCAAATTATTCTTAAAATCCATGAGCACTTTTTTCTTTGTTTGGTTGGAAAGCTGGAGTTTGGATCTAAAAATAAATAATTTATAATGAGAATAATTGGGCAAAACCATGAATGAGAAAGGTTAACTGTTGTTGTCCTTACTTTTAATAAAATGCCCTTGAGGTAATAGGGAGGGGCCTGGCAGGCCTCCTCCGCCCACTGTGCTTTTGGAAACTACATCCTCTCTCCCTTTCCAGTGGCAGACCCGACCTAACAAAATCCATATCCCACTGCCACTTCACTGCAGGAAGCAAATCATATCCATTAATTCACATTAAGATGCTAATAACTGATAGTGGTTTGAGGTATTATCTGTCCCGAATATATTTGCATTAAAAAAATATGCAATTGATTCATGTCCGTTGCTGAAAAATGGAAAATCCAGATAAGCAAAAAGAAAAAAATAATCATTACCCCCAGTATCATCAGACAGAACCACTGTTACAAATTTAGTTTCCATTTCTCAAGCTCTTGTCTGTGCTTGTATTAACATTTGGGGGAGGCTTTTAACATTTGAAGAAGGACTTTAACCTCCCCTCTTCTTTCCTCTCTGTCCCTTGCCCCAGATTTATCATCTAAGAAGTAGCAGTTGTACATGTACACACAAAACCAACCGGATAGTATTACAGAACATGCTCCCATTCTTGAGAAATTCATGCGCTTATAGAGGTTGATAGGTAGCAGTTATTGTTTATTTTGTTTATGTCCACACAGATCAAGTTGACATCTTAAAATATTGGATTGGCCACCTCCCAACTCTTCAAGGGAGGGATCCAGTATGCTGAGCGTGCTGCAGTGTTACTTTTTAGGTGTTTAATCCCTTCCCCTCCAGAAGCCTTCCCTCAGTCCCCAGGAGTCAGAAGGGGGAGGACTCTGAATTCCCGTAGCCCTTGTCTGTGTCACTTAAGTGGCCCTGTATTGTTTTGTTATTTTTGACATCCACCTTCCCAGCTACACAGGGGCCCCTCAAGGCCACGCTTAGAATCCTAGAATCATATATTGTTTAAAGGGGCCTTGGACAGGTCCAGTTCATATACGAGGAGACTGAGGCTCAGAGGGGTTAGATAACCTGCTCAAGGCCACAGAGCTTTTCAGTGAACTAGAACCTAGTTCACTTAAAAGTACTCTTTCTAGCCCAACAGTGTTAGACATGTTCCCAGAAGCCTGCAAGCTATGAAAATTATTCAATTTTATGGAAACAAAAATTTAACCTCAGCACATTTCTGATCATCTAGGTCTATTCATTATACTTGAGTAGGCTCTCAATTTCATTGTTTTGATTTTGTGTTTTGTATTGTCCTGTAAGTATTTGTCACTGGTTGGACCAAGTGGTCAGGTAGCAGCAGTTAACTTTAATGCTTTGGTTTTTCTAGGGGGAGGGGTGACAAAGTGGAGGACGCGCTCTCAGGGTCCCCACTTTTTCAAATTTGAGCAACACTCCAGACAGCACATGACTTCTTGTTCCCCACAAATGTGTTTGCTGATGATGCATTTTAGTTTAAAAATAAACTAAATATTCTGTCTTGGCCTCTCATTTCTGATTCACTGTATTGTGCTGGAAGTAACTGGGAACAGGTTTTTGGCATTTCTTGGTTGCATTTTGGGCGTCGGACTGATTTTGGTCCCGGGGGTGGGGATGGGAGGGCGGGATCGAATCACTAAGAACTGGAAGCAGGAAATGGATCTCACTGGTGTGCCCTGAGTGCCCACAGTTTGAACTGTCTCCATAAAGCCAGTGCTTGTCCGGAGATGGGACCACAAATATTCATGCCCCCTGCAACAGTGACATCTGGTGGCCCTGGGGTAATAGGACAGCAGTCGAGTGGCTGATCTGTGGATTTTGATGAGATGACCTTATTCTATATATACTTGTCGCCGTAGGAGCCACTGCCCGTTCCTAGGGAGCCCCGTTTCCTCCTGTGACACACCCACCTCCAATCACCCTACACCCAGGAAGCACCTGCAGCAGTGCCTCTGCTTCCTGGGGGCACTCTCCTCCCAGGCCCCCTGGCCGCCGGGCTGGGAAGAAGTGGACTTGCCCCATCTGGCGCGTGTCAGCCGCCAGCAGCCACGTCAGGCCAGGCCTGGCCTGGATTCTGGTGTTCGAGGGCCAGTGATTTACTGCCTGCCTGGGCAGCAGGTGGCTGGGGTATTTTTAGTGTGTGGAGCCTTTAGGAGTGGGATTGGGTGTGGGCAGGAGGCAGCGGTGAGGTCTGGGGGAGTTAGCTCTTCCAAGGTTCAAGTTGAAAGCCTCCTAATTGGGGGGGGGGGCTGTCTGTTTCCTAACCTCCTGTAGGCTTTCAGGTTCTTGGTACGTCTTCTTGAATCTGTCTGCCTTTTTCCTTTGCTTGGTCAGTTTGTAAGCATGAACTAGAGAAAGTGGAAACCTTTGGGATGCCAAGTTGTTTGGTATCTAGGAAAACACTGGGTCCTATTAACGCCCTGCACCTGTATTCATTCCACTTCAAAGCTCTTTTCTGTTCGTTGTATTATCTGATCCTCACGATAATCCCTCACGCTCTGTGGACGGGGATTATCATCTTCCTTCTACAGAAGAAGAACTGGCCACGAAAGGTGAGCATCTGTCCCGCGCCACAGGGAGCACACGGGACAGAACCCGGAGCCGAGCTGTGCCGGTTTTGCCGCTAAGCGGTGCTGAGTTCGAACCCACTGCCCCGGCTCACATGCCGTGGGATTTGGGGCCCAGCTGCTTGGCTCCTGAGTCTCCTTATCCAGAAACGGAGTCGTGGTACCTGGCACACACTCCTGTGAGGATGAGCACATATCAAACACTCCACCCGCTGTTCTGATCCAAGTAAACGCTTCCACGTTTATTTAGCTTTTGACTGGGTCTGTTGTCCAGGTTCTGAACATACGACATCGCCGCTGCCTCCGTGTGAGAGACAATCTCAGAATCAGCAATTAAACGTGCCAGGCGCCCAGGCCTGGAGCAGAGCAACCGGCCGAAACCTGGGGCTTCTGAGCAGGCACATCACAGAGAATAAAAGGTAAAAATTAAGCAGCCTGTGGGCCGGGAGGCTTTGTCAGTCTGACCATCTGAGACCGAGTTTGAGTTACTTTCCCGCTGCTGTTACTTGGTGGCATCGGGGCTTTTGTGATTCCTTGTCCTCGGAATCTTTTTGTTTCCTTTCTAAGGAAACATTCTGCTTGTGCTTCAGAGAAGAGGGATTTTCGTCAGCACCTGGATGGAACGTTGTCAGCACCCGGAGAGACCAGAGGAAACTGGGAAAACAGGTGACAGAGCCTCCTGCGGTGCGGGAGCTGGAAACAGCTACGACTGTGAGTTGCCGACTCCTGCATTTCACCCAGACCAGCTGAGCTGGACCCCTGGGGTTGTCCTCTCCGCGGCTGCCCCTCCCATGTCCAGAGCCAAGCCTGACAAGGCCTGAGCCTCGAGGTCTATCCCCAGTTGGGGGATAGGGCCGCTGCCAGGCTGATCTTAGTTTTGGGTGGGGCTGCCATGGGTCTGTGGGCCCACTGGGCCCCAGCCTGCCAGCTGGGTGCCTGGGTACCTTAGAGCTGGACCTCTGCCTCCGTGGCTTTGTGTAGGTAGCACTTCAGTTTGTCACGACAGATAGAATCTGTCGTGAACCTCAGTTTATTTGCCTGTTGGCCCTGAAACTCTAAGTAGACCTCACTGGTGGAGAGGGGCTTGGCGGTGGTGGTGGAGGTGACACGTGGGAACCAGGTCTTTTTCCTGTTGGTTCCGGCTTCAGTAGTTCAGTAAGAAAGCGTCGTCAGTAGTTCACTAGTCTGAAGTCATGTTCTGTGTTGAAAGGGTTCCGTGGTCATGATCAAAAGTGCTACACCATACCCCCGCCTGCCTTGCGTTAGAGATCGCCTATTCCCATCATCATATTCAGGGCTCTGAGATGTCCTACAGTGGAGAAACCTGTGTAATTCCATTAAGCCCACATTTCTCAAGCTTGTTGGACCATGGAACCCTCTTTTCAGGCCAGTAGCCCTTCGCAACCTTCAGAGCTAGTGTTTCACAGATCCTACCTTGGGAAGCACGGGCACAAACCATGCCACGGCCATGAGAGCTGAGAGCCGTGAGAGCTGTCAGCTGCCTTAACTCGTGGCTGCATCCACCCCCGATGACACCTCCTCGGACACTGATCCCTCCTGAAAGCGAACCTGAGCTCATCCCATCATGAGTCAGCCCCGCCTGGCCCATCTCCCCACTGCTAATCCCACTCAGCCCTGGCTTTCTACCACCTCCCAGTTGGCCTGGTAGCTGAGCCGTCATGCGGCAGCAGGTGGGGGAGGATTCCCCTGTGTCTCCAAATCCTCCCAGAGATGCCACAGCCATCTCCCCCGTCCCTGCCCCCATCCACACCCAGAGGTGCCGCTCACCTCGAGGCCAGGAGCCCCTTGGGCGGCGATCTTCTTGCTTTTCCCTCCTTTCCTCCCTTCTGGTTCCTCAGCCTGTGCTTCCCCACATCTGCTTAGAGCGCCCTGGGCCTGGGAGGAGCCTTTTATTAAGTGAACCCGTCCCACACACAGCCTCAGTCCTGATTTGGAAGACTTCAGCCCTGGCTACCCTGGCCATTCTGAGAATGTATTACCCTATTTTTTATCTTAAATCCAAGCAAGATGTCAACCAGAGTCCTTGAATCTACCTGTCCTTCATCCCTGGTTTCCCTCCTCTTCACATCCCCAGACCCCCAAGTTTCGGTTGAGTCTCTCCCAGCTGGCAGCCCCATTCCAAGCAGAGGAGACACTGCAGTCAGGACGAGGGTGGTTTGTTACAGGACTGGGTGAGATTAAATCCCAGGGGGTCCTGCCCAGCTAAGGTGCATTTTCCCCTGTGCGTTATGATGTTTTCCTCCTCTCTGCTTTGGTCAACGTCCTACAGGAGTCACTGCTTTGAATCCATTCTGGGATCTCTGGCTTTTAGAACCCATTGCCTGCTCCTCATTCTTTACTGAAACCTGCTCTCAGCATAGCATTGATCAGTACATTCCCATTAAGTTAGAATCAGCTAAAAACCCCCAAGATGGGAGAGAGTTCTGTGGGCAGGGACTCCTCCTGGGAGCATGTGAAATTGGGAAACTAAGGAATCTAAGAAGTCTAATATGCAATTTCACACAACTTATAACTGAGAAGTAGCCGTTGTCACCGCACGCTCACCCTCAACATCTAGGGGTGCATATCCCCCCGGCGTGGCCACATTTATGTTAGACTGTCTTCAGTAAAAAGTGTCAAAGCATATGCTAAGTAAGTAGGACATCTCTGTCATCCACCACACCCGTCTGAGGTTAAAAGTTCTTTTCCTTAACTCGTAAATGATTAAAGACTCAAGCTCTTTTTATGATTTGACCTTGGGATACCACCCCTGAGCATTATTTTATAAACCTGTGAAATCTTGGTATAAAACTGTAGATAGGTGGTTTCCAACATTTAGTGCCTGTGTTAGTCACCCAGCACTGAGGGGGAAAAAAACCACAGAAATCTTCTCAGTGGCATATGCAGCAATAAGCGTTTGTCTCCAGAGCTCTGTGGGTCATCCGGGATTTGACTGATCCAGGCTGGGCTCAGCTGGTCGACTCTGCTAAGGCTGCAGTGGCTCAGTGGCTCTGCTACTCACTTCAGGTCTCTGGACCACTCGGTGGTTTTGCGCTACATGCCTCTCATCCTATCCTCCTTAGACAGCAGGTTAGCTGAAGCTTGTTCTTCTGATGGCAGAGGCAGAAGAGGGTAAACCCCAGTGTGCAAGCACTTTTCAAACCCCTGCTTGTGTCCGTCTACTGACATCCCATTGGCAAAGAAAGTCATATGACCAACCCCAGTATCGACAAAGAAGGACATTCCATCCATGATGAAGCCATAGCAAGTGTGTGGATGGAGAAAGGAGTGAAGAATTGGGGCCAATAATACCACCATGCTCACCTGTGGCACACAGGGACGAGATGAAGGGTTTCTTCTGCCAATTGCTGCTAGCAGAGTTCTGTTGCAACAAAGATGCTACAGGGAGCCTAGCAGTTGGGGGAAACTTCTGAAGGTTAAACAGCCCACAGGCTCCCTGTGACCAGAGAACCAGGTGACCATCCTGATCAGTCCAACTCAGGTTCTGGTGGGGGTGGGTAGCCCAGGAGCCCAAATGAGGAGAGAGTAGGCAACGGAAGTGCAGAGATTGGTGCGGCCACCAAAGTGCCCTTCCACGGCTAAGGGTGCGAACCGTTATGCTCTGACATACAGATGCCAAGGAAAGCACTGAGGAGGTCAGAACTGGGGCCAGCCAGGGGAAGACGAGCTTTACCCAAAATCAGAGCAGGAAGGAATACCAAATAGGCAAGGTTGAGACCCTGACTCGAGCCTACAGTTAGTTGGGTTTATACGCTTAAATTAACCATTGGGTAAGCAAGGTTACCCGTGATGTCCTGGTTGCTCATGCCTTATTTATTTATTATTTAAAATGTAGTTTTTATTTATTTTATTTTTTAAAATTTATTTGTTTTTGGCTGCGTTGGGTCTTCGTTGCTGCGCACAGGCTTTCTCTAGTTGTGGCGAGCGGGGGCTACTCTCGTTGTGGTGCGTGGGCTTCTCATTGCGGTGGCTTCTCTGGTTGCAGAGCACAGGCCCTAGGCGCGCGAGCTTCAGTAGTTGTGGCTCGTGGGCTTTAGAGCGCAGGCTCAGTAGTTGTGGCGCACGGGCTTAGTTGCTCTGCGGCATGTGGGATCCTCCTGGGCCAGGGATCAAACCTGTGTCCCCTGCACTGGCAGGCAGATTCTTAGCCACTGCGCCACCAGGTAAGTCCCTAGTTTTTATTTTATTTTTATTTTTTTCCTAGTTTTTATTTTTATAAAAATAACCAGGTATCTAGTTTAAGAAGTGAAATAAAAACAGAGGCTTATAATGGAAAACAACAGTCTTCTGCTCATCCCTACTAAGCCCTGACTGCTTCTCCCCAGAAACAACTGTTTTAGCTGTGCCTTCTTATCTTTTCCCTACACTTTTTTTTTCCAAATTTGTGTCGCTGTTTCTTGATTTTTCAACCTTAGACATAATCTTTTTCTCTTCCTACCTTGGAAAATGAGAATTTAACTCTCTTACATTCTCCCCCATGCTCTACCCACACACATATATTTCCCTTCCCCGCATCTTCCCAATATAGATATTTTGGTTAAATGAATATTTTAGTATTTACATTATTATGACTTATGTAAAAAATTTTCACAACTGAGCCATTTAGTATACTGTGATTACAAAAAGTGCAACTTTCGTTTCCCTAGGAGCTTTTTTCTTTTTTTTTTTTTTGGTCTGTTTGCTTGGTTTTCTACATACTTATCAATAATACAACCCTAGAGGGACTTCCCTGGTGGCACAGTGGTTAAGAATCCGCCTGCCAGTGCAGGGGACACAGGTTCGAGCCCTAGTCCGGGAAGATCCCACATGCTGTGGAGGAACTAAGCCCGCGAGCCACAACTACTGAGCCCATGTGCCACAACTACTGAAGCCGGCGCGCCTAAAGCCCGTGCTCCGCAACAAGAGAAGCCACTGCAATGAGAAACCAGTGCACCACAACGAAGAGTAGCCCCCGCTCACCACAACTAGAGAAAGCCCGCACGCAGCAATGAAGACCCAACGCAGCCAAAAATAAATAATAAATAAAAAATACAACCCTAGACTGTCAAAACTGAAAATTTCACTGATACAATCAAACAGATAAGATAAACTATTGGGTTTTTTGGTTCGTTTGAGACATCCTTCTGGGAATGTTGTTCTGAAAACTCCTTTGCTTCCCTCTGGTGGCGAATTCCACATTGCCTGCATCCCAGGTGTCCATTTTGGTTTATTCTCTTGAGGGAGCATGACTACCAATAGCCTTCTGATAAAAGAAGCATGTGTTCTTGTTTGTCTGAAAATGTCATTATTCTATCTTCATGATTGATAGCTAGATTGGGTGTAAAATTCTGTGTTGGAAATAATTTTCCCTCGGAATGTTTTAGCTTTTCTTTTTTATTTTGTTTTGCGGTACGCAGGCCCCTCACTGTTGTGGCCTCTCCCGTTGTGGAGCACAGTCTCCGGACGTGCAGGCTCAGCGGCCATGGCTCACGGGCCCAGTCGCTCCGCGGCATGTGGGATCCTCCCAGACCAGGGCACGAACCCGTGTCCCCTGCATTGGCAGGCGGACTCTCAACCACTGCGCCACCAGGGAAGCCCTAACTTTTCATTTGGAAATAATTCTAGGCTTACAGAAAAGTCCAAAAACATTACAGAGCTCTATCTAGTGCCTTTACCCAGCTTCCCCTAATGGTAACATCTTACATAGCTAT